AAATCCGTGGAATTTCTTGAATAAGACTGGAGTATATTTTCTAAGATTTCGTGGGAATGTGGATAATTTAATGTAATCAAATAGTAATCGACAAGCGTTATTTAATATTGATGTCTTAAGAGTTGGCTAAGAGATAATTTCAATCAAATTTCGATAGGATTATTTCCATTTCGAGGAAAAACAAAATTTCTATTCATCAAATGTATCTCTCCACATCACGCCACACTTTGTCCGAAAACGTGAGCGATGATAATGAAAATTAACGAAAATTTTGCTTTCGATATGTAATGCTAGTAATAATTATAGCAATAATACCGAAAATAAAATAAGGCGCGAATGGATCGCTCTCGTTAGAAACATAAATCCGGAAAATTCGCTTTTCTCGATATACAGATTTACCGGCGTACTGTGAATTCGTCGTAAAGAATGCAGAGTAGTCTCTAACTCGATTTCAGCCCCCGCTCAAAACCGACTGCCCCATACCCGCTCCCCTGACCGCGTCCCCTTGCCGGATCGGGCGGGGTGTAAAACTGTATGCGCGATATTAGAAGCGTAAAAAACGGGGGTAACGGTGGCGATGCCGAACGGCGAATGAGTCGGATATATGCGGACGAATAACGACGCCCGCGAGGCTTTCTGATGAAGGAATATCGCCCGTCCTTTACGGGCCGCGGAATGTATAAACACGACACGGCCAGCCGCGTGCGTTATTTTTCCGCATGTCTAGCCGCGACTTTTTCTTTCCGTTCTTTTAGCACGTGACCGTTATTACGTAACGCGCGGATTGTGTGAATGTTAATCGTTTTGCAGTTTTGGGTCGCACGCTTTCCGCGCGTTTTCCTACAAATTATTCGCGTAGCTCCAATTATGCGAGCATACAAATTAGGAGTATCAAATGCCGTGGGAATAATAAAACATGGAATATAAAAAACTAAAGTTCTCGGGAAACTCGATATATAATTTATTTATTAAGATCAATGCGGATTTATAAATTCCATCATGATTTATTACATGATAATAAAAATCGGATGATTCCGTAAAAAGTTCGTGCTCGTTGCCGTGGAAAATGGCTGTCGTGGGGGTAATATCCACAATATTCTCTACAATACGTATCTATATACAAATCTATATTAGAATTTCTTTCCATAAACGGAAACTTATTAGTTGCCGGAACAGCAGAATGATGCTATATACTCTGCAACAAAAATACAGGACGTATACCGTTGTAAGAGCGCGAACACATAGGTACGACTTATATTTACCGTCGCAACAACTTTAGTTGCTGTTACTCGAACAGCAAATATGTAATATCATGCTTGATGTTACCGTAACATGGTTTATGTCGGCATATTTACAAAATACCGATGTTACGTCTATAACAACTGCCGTCTTTTCTGCCTCCTGTGATCCCGCAGATTTTTCTCTGTTCAATTTCCGAAGGAAAAAACGTCGTTTCTCATCTCGAATAATTAAGATAACGACAATTCTAGTGATTTTCTTCGCGAATCACAGTGTCAGGCGTTTTGAGGAAAAAAAAAAAAGAAGAAATATTTACAGGACAGTATCCAAGCCATGGATCATTGCGAGGGCGACGAACGACAACGAGGGTGGCACTGGCCATAACGCCCGCATTTCTCATATCGTTGATACTTTCACCCCTGCGAGCGTAGGGCGAGCGAAGCG